AGGGGGGGGGGGGGGGGGGGTTGCAATTTATCCTTGATGTGTGTGGGACGGGTAAGCATTGTAATGGGTTGTGTTCTAATTCTTTCTGGTTCATGAGGTTTGGTTTGGGCTGTTGTGTGTAATACTGCCAAGAGAGTAACGGAGGAAGGTAGAAGAAACGAGAGTGGAAGAGAGTAATGTGAAGGAGAGCTTCTTGTGTGATGGATAGTAATGGCACGAGTGTTTCTTGGAAATGGGAGAGTAATGTGTGCTCTGGGTCTCTTATGACAGCGTGAAATTGATGGTGGGTGATAAGTTGTGATGGCCGCACATGGTGTTCAGATGCTGGTGACATGATATTCAGAAAGTAGAAAAGCTGGATAGAAGTGGAGGATGATGATGGTGGAAAGGATGACGGTATGAGACTCCAGAAGAGGTAGCCATAGAGAGGGAAGGAGGAGAGCTCTACAGGCAGAGCGAAATCCCTTATTGAATTTCTAAAATGAATGTTCTTGTTTAAACATGCTTTTGTTTTTTATGGAATTGATCTTAAAAAAAGTACTTAAAAAAGGTTACCAAACAACACATAATGTTTTCAGATACATCAGGGGAAGGGGTTGTAGTTCGAACTCAGATCATGAACGAAGTCAAGCATATTCATCCTTGTAGTCACGCCCTTGCCTTCAACCTCTAAATTTTATGCTGCCAAAATTTACAACCACCAAAAGCAGGGCTCAAGCCGCAGATGGGCCACTAATATAGCGAATGCAGCCAGCCTACAGGAATGCAACCCTAAGTTTATTGACACCATCAGCTTCTTCAACCTCGTCATTGTATATTTCCCACCACCTGTGCACTAGCATCCTGATGTCTTCCCTTTGCATGTTCTCTTCTTTGCCGGTGTACTTCCATGGCTTTGAACCAGCAGCACAGTAGTGAACAACTTTGGCCTTGTTAAGCTCAATGGTCTCTGGGTGGCGCCACAGCATGGCCACCATCATGTTGTAAATTGGAGGTAGAGGCTTATATATATCTTTGAAGAACATATTCAGAAAGTCCTGAGAGTCGATAAAAACCACGGTTTACATTTACCATAAAGCTGACTAAATAAACCTGCAGAGTTCTTCCATGTTATTGTCTCGGTTCACGTCATTTTATCAATCATATTGAAATCGAATTTACTCGAACATATAATATTACTCTCAATATGGCTTGCATATTATACAAGCGACACATCACGCATATAGTGCCTTCACAAAAAGGGCATGATGGGTTCCATAGTTTAAATGAGTTGTACTTTACAAAATTTTTAGACGAGTTCCTCTGATTTTATTGATGTAATTAGATAATCGGGGTTCTTGTTACAAATGCTTCCACCACTAAACACAAAATCACTAAATTGCTATCAGAATTGTTGCTATTACCTGCTCAGCAAAAGCGGTTACAGGAGTAACACTGAGGGTGTTCAATAGATCATCGTAAGTGGAGAGACATGGCTCATAGACAAACATGCCAGCGTTGAAGTAAAAGGCGGGCTTAGGGCCCAACGCGTCCGGCCACTTGACATTCTCAGGACAATGCTGGTGACAGGCAATTTGGCAGACGCAGTCCACCACTGCATAGAAAGAGCCATCTTGCAAGTCGAAGAGGTGGTCTATGTTGTCATACACTTGTATATCTCCATCCAGGTATATCAACTTGCTATACTCCACAAACTGCAATAATAAATGGCAAAAATCACCACACTTGAGAAAATATTTGAAATTGCGCCCCGCTCTTTATTGTGGGCTCGTAAGAACTTAAAACTTGGTATTTGGTTCAATGGTAATTTTTTGCCTTGTGAAAACTGTCTTCTTAAAATCAAGAGTTCAAGTTCCCCTCCGCTCTCCTCCCATTCCATCCCAAAAAAAGAAAAAAAAATCTTGTGTCAGGTATTGTCAAGTTAAACATCTTTAAGTCATAAAATGAAATCAAATTATATTCCAATCACAGCACTCTGCATTTTTTTAACATAAGTAAATTCATATATAGGAAGGACATTTAATAAATAAATTGACATAAATACGATAACTTACTACAATTTGATTGTCAAACAAAATATATCAATACCAATTCATTATGTAACACATGTTGGATATACATTATTATACACAGTACGAAGTTCTAAGATAGGTTAAAAGCTCAATTCTGCATAGTATATAGCAAATTCTAAATTCCAACATAACAAAATTTAAATAAATACAAACCCAACAAGTCATTGCCAACGTAGTTACGGTTTAGAGGATCTTCCTTCCTCTTCCTAAATCTTTTAAGGTGACAAAAAGACCTTGAGGTTCTGTTTGTTTTCGAGATGATCAATAATACTAAAACACCTCTTTAAGTGAGCACTTCTGTAGCACGCGATAAGGACATTAAAACAGCCTAACAGGTGCCCAAAAAAAAAAAAAAAAAAGGTTTCAAAATCTTCTGGGCATGTTAATGATTTTGTTTTTTTTGTTAATGATTTATCGTATGCTAGCAATTGAAGAAACCAATAATACACATGCGACTTAAATGCTTACTTTCCATATCCGAAGCTTGGAGTAGTTTATTGCATAATAGGCCCAAGCCAACTTAGACTGGTCTTCAGGCGGGTTTACAGGCTCAATCTCACGGACAATACAGCCTTGAGCCACCAGCTGCCGACGGTGCTCCTCCGGCACGTCAGTAAGGACAGCCACCACCAGTGGGTAAAGTGCTTTCACCTTTCTCAGCCCTTTAGCCAGACCCACAACCCCTTTCACGTAGTCTCCGTCACCAGCCAAGAACGTAGTGTAGGCGCAGCGTGCCAGATCAGCGGTGTAGGTTAAACCCATGTTTTTCATTTAATTTGTAGCACTAAGAACTGCAGGAACCATTTTGTCCTCAATAAATCAAACAAGGAGTCTCGAATATATACCTATATATATGTGTGTGTGTGTGAGAGAGGGAGAGAGAGAGGGAGAGGGAGAGGGAGAGACTTTTGGAATGCTTTTAAGAAGAGAAAGGGGCTTTTGAGGGATTGTAGGAGGGTTTTGGAATGAAGGGGAAGAGCTTTAGGATGGCGATTTGGAGGGTTTTGAGTTAGGCGGTTGGGGTGTTTGTATAGGCGTTGGTGGTCATTAGGAAAGTGGGAAAGAACTGCATTGCATGGGAATTTAAGTTACGGTAGTACTAAATTAATCAAATTTTGATATTAAATTTAGAACTTAAATTACATAACAGTATATTATTTGGAGTTTTTATTCGAGCTGAAGTTTTTATTGTGGTTCAAATGATATAATATCAAATAAAAAAGTTCAAATCAACCGTTATATCATTTAAATTTTAAATTTAATTTTAAAATTTGATTAATATAATATTATTGGATACGTTAACCGCTGCATAGATGAATCTAGTAAAGGCTACGAAATCGTACAACTAGTAGTCGTCATATTTTTTAGTGACAATTGACCCTCTCACAAGTGTCTTTGGCATATTTATGAGGTGTGACGTGCTCGGGAGTTTTCTATTATTTTTTTTATATATTTATAATAAGAATAGATATATATTATTTTTGAAACTTGTATAACTTTTATATTTGGATTAGGAATATGATATTTGACACTCAGTAATGTTATATTGATAAAATTTTGGAATTAAATTTAGAGCTCGAATAATATGATGACTGACTTGAATTTCTTTATTTGGTATCATGTTATTTGAGTCCCAATAAAGACTCCAAATAATATGATGTTATGTCATTTGACCTCTAAATTTAGTCAGTGTAACATTACTATTTGAAACTAGTTTAACTTAACATAACATTTTCATTAAACACGTAACAAGAATTATTTTTTCGTAATAAACGTATTGACTAATCATATTATTTTCGAATTGATGAGTATGTAATAAATTGATAATATTTTGAATGTAGAGTTTTTTTTCCCAAAAAGGTTTGTTTGCAACGTTAAATACAATCATTTTATAGAAAATATAATGATGCATATTTTTTTAATGGTAATATAGTCTTGTAGGCATAATGTTATCTTTTTTTATATGAGATGAGTACTATTATATTGATGGAGTTTTTAAAGTTTTTTTCAACACTTTATTGAAAATATAATACTACATATTTTTTTAAAGGTAATATAGTCAATCAAATTTTTTTTATAGAAATTAATATTTATCCATAGATAATATATAATTAAAAAAGATTTTATAAATAATTTTGAAATTTAAAGACATAAGGATATGATATAATTAGATATTTAATTGTGAAAGGATAAAGTAGTCTTTGCAATCATTTATAAGGATAAAATAGGGATTCAAAAGTTTTTCAGTTTAATGTATTTTTATTAGTAGTATAGATATAGATTTAGATTTCTTTTTCCTTTACATTCTATATCACTATTTCCCTCTCCTCTCTCTTCCTATATCACTCTCATACCTTATTCAAATTTTTATCTCTTTCTCTTATCTTTTTCATTCAACTATTTCTCTCACTTATTTTTGTTATCTTTATTTTATCTCTTTTCTCCACCATGTATTGTTGAGAGATTGTGTTGATTGTTGCTTTTAAAAAATCATTCATAATTTTTGTAAATTCGAAGGATTCATGGTGATGATGTTCCTTTGCATAGCTCATGTTGACAACATTTGTTGAATTCATTGGTAATGACCGTGTGAGTTCATTTTTCTCTCAAAATTAGGACATTTCCTCCCTGCCTCTCTTTCTCTCTCTCTCTCTGTCTCTCTCTCTGTCTCTTTATATATATATATATATATACATACACACACACACAGTGTTATTATGGGTGTGTCACAGTGACAGACACATTGATATCGTGTATTATAAAAAATTTATCTTATTTTTTATGTGTTTTTCTTGTGGGACAGTCGTTTAGGTAACTGTTACTGTCCTAGACAGTAACAGTGAAGTGTTTTCACTATCCCAATACAGTAACAGACACACTATAGGTATGTCACAATGACAGACACATTGACACCGTGTATTAAAAGAATTTTATTTCATTTTTAATATGTGTTCTTCTTATGGGATAGACATTTAAGTAATTGTTACTGTGTTGGACAATAACAGTGGCATTATCGCTGTCTGGGGGACAATAACAGTGGAGCATTTTCATTATCTCAAGGCAGTAACAGAGACACAATTACTGTGACAGTAACAATGGTATTGTCAATGTCTCGGGGATAGTAATAGAGGCCCTGCTACTATGTTGGAATAGTAACAGTGGCGTTGTCAATATCCTAGGAAATTATATAAATCTATATGATAAAGTAAGTGGAATTTTAAATTTCAAAGACAAAAGAGAGGCTGAGATTGTTTTGGGATAAAACAAAACCTCATTCGACAGACTACGGTGCTCCAACATAAAAAAAGGGTTTAGATCATTTCAAAATTTATTGATCTAACAGACTAGGAGTCTTGAAATAATTTTTCTCGCCTAAAATTTACCATTTTTACTTACCTCAATTGCACATAAAACTGTCCACGTTTAATTGACTGAGTACTTCTCATGTGCTATTGACTGAGCACCTCTCATGCTCTCTCTCTCTCTCTCTCTCTCTCTCTCTATCTCTCTCTNATTTTTGTTATCTTTATTTTATCTCTTTTCTCCACCATGTATTGTTGAGAGATTGTGTTGATTGTTGCTTTTAAAAAATCATTCATAATTTTTGTAAATTCGAAGGATTCATGGTGATGATGTTCCTTTGCATAGCTCATGTTGACAACATTTGTTGAATTCATTGGTAATGACCGTGTGAGTTCATTTTTCTCTCAAAATTAGGACATTTCCTCCCTGCCTCTCTTTCTCTCTCTCTCTCTGTCTCTCTCTCTGTCTCTTTATATATATATATATATATACATACACACACACACAGTGTTATTATGGGTGTGTCACAGTGACAGACACATTGATATCGTGTATTATAAAAAATTTATCTTATTTTTTATGTGTTTTTCTTGTGGGACAGTCGTTTAGGTAACTGTTACTGTCCTAGACAGTAACAGTGAAGTGTTTTCACTATCCCAATACAGTAACAGACACACTATAGGTATGTCACAATGACAGACACATTGACACCGTGTATTAAAAGAATTTTATTTCATTTTTAATATGTGTTCTTCTTATGGGATAGACATTTAAGTAATTGTTACTGTGTTGGACAATAACAGTGGCATTATCGCTGTCTGGGGGACAATAACAGTGGAGCATTTTCATTATCTCAAGGCAGTAACAGAGACACAATTACTGTGACAGTAACAATGGTATTGTCAATGTCTCGGGGATAGTAATAGAGGCCCTGCTACTATGTTGGAATAGTAACAGTGGCGTTGTCAATATCCTAGGAAATTATATAAATCTATATGATAAAGTAAGTGGAATTTTAAATTTCAAAGACAAAAGAGAGGCTGAGATTGTTTTGGGATAAAACAAAACCTCATTCGACAGACTACGGTGCTCCAACATAAAAAAAGGGTTTAGATCATTTCAAAATTTATTGATCTAACAGACTAGGAGTCTTGAAATAATTTTTCTCGCCTAAAATTTACCATTTTTACTTACCTCAATTGCACATAAAACTGTCCACGTTTAATTGACTGAGTACTTCTCATGTGCTATTGACTGAGCACCTCTCATGCTCTCTCTCTCTCTCTCTCTCTCTCTCTCTATCTCTCTCTCTTATAGGTGATTTCTTTCCGTACTAGAAGGCATCCCCTAATTCATGCTCTTTAAAAATATACTCCCATTAGGTATCCCGCAGAATTATGTCTCTATGAAGCCTCTCCCCTAATTTCACTCCATCTTTATCTCTCTCCATCTCTCGCTTATTAGTCCGTTAACCTTTTTCTCGCCCCCTGCGGGGAACCCTTTTGGGCTTTGCCTGTGTTGACCGGTAGCCACAAACAAAGGTCTTAATGTCTAGGCAAGCCCAATGACGATCATGCTTGGTGTGATACCACTTGAGCAAGCTTCTAGAAGCAATAGCAATAGCAATACCAAACACATGCAAGGAGCATGTCTTAGCAAACCCAAGGCCATTGCTACTGCCGGCCGACAGTAGCAAATCACTACTACTCTAAGGCAGTCACCAAAGTGAGGTCCTTCATCCTAGCAATCCACTAAGTTCAACCAAGACATAACATGGGTTAAGCAAGAAGCAGCTAGCTAGGGGTTGCTCACCTTTTGCTAGTCTTGATCGGCACATGAGTCGACAAGCAGACATAATTCGGCGTGAAGGTCATGCGTGGATAGGCCCAAGTGGCAACCACAAAAAAATCCTATTTAGTTTAGGATTAACCCTGGACCTAAAGTCCTGGCGAACCTGTACTCCGAGTACTATTGATAAACAAAGCCTCTAAGTGAGTACATCTCTTCCTACAATCTAGGACTCAGCATCCCAGTACAATTCTAACTCGAACATCTAGGGGATTTGTGATGAGGTCTACCCTATCACACCTAGAGTTCGAGTCTATCTAGAACATTGCTTCCTATACCACTATAAATAAAGATATTATGTATTAGGTACTAAGTAAGGGAATTCGATCCTAGCTCATTTACTCTATATTTTTCTTCGACTCGCTTACTAACTTAAGTATCGGAGTTCCTTTGACCACCTTCGACCCTTGGTTCACCTAGGTTTTCTTTTTTCTTATAGGTTCACCAGGGTTTCTCTGTCATTGTCTTCGTCCATACAAGGTGGTGACCCTCTGCGTGGATTTATCTCCGCACAATTGACGCCGTCTATAGGAAACATAGTTTTCTACTCACTAGGAAGCCTTGAACCATGTTCGGCGAGAGAGCTCTCAATCCTGGAACCAGCCGTCTAC